CAGGAGCCCCTAGTAGCGTTCTTGCTCCTAGTAGCGATGCCAGGAGCTACTAGTAGCGTCCTTGCTCCTAGTAGCGATGCCAGGAGCCCCTAGTAGCATTCTTGTTCCTAATAGATGATGGGCCCATGGAGAATCCTTTATGGGGCCGGGTCGTTCAAAACCTGGAGCTCGACCAGTCCACCATGTAGCGAGTTAGACTGACACCAGGTAGGTTAACCATATTTGTGCTTCCCTTATGGCCCGACCCCAGTGCAGCGGCCCATTGTTACTATAGGTTGGAGGCCATGGTTGTTCGGTTGGATGCCATCGCGATGATCCCATCTCCAAAGCAGGGATAACTTGGCATGAGTTGACCATTGCTTTTATAGTCAATACGGGTCTGCAATTCCCCACATGGATTCGACTGAAAGAAAACCAAAGAGCCCGCCCCCATCACTGGCAAGATCCCAAAGTCTTGGCTCTCCCCGCCCATGAACGATCACTCAGAGAACAGTCTGAAGCTTTTCGCATCATCGTTTTATATTTGCAGGGTTTTGCTAGTGAACCGCTGGTTCCCAAGTACTCTAAGACCAGTTCCACCAGTTTGACACTAAGACCTCAGATCTACAGGAGGTTTCGCTCTACGACCTCAGATCCCGAATCCGACGGCTGTTCAACAGACTCTCAACCAACATGTGTCGGACCTTAATTGCAAGCCACCATTCCACCCAGACGGCCTTGTACCGATGCAACACATAAAGCCCACCTTTCTGGTGGTGGACGCCGTCCCCTTAACCTATGAGCAGTGCTTTTTGTATCGTCGTTAATTTGAGAAAAATGTGGGGCAAAAATGGAGACTTGAATGCAGTGCCAATCCCACCCCCACCAAATTAGTTCCTTGAGCTGACCACTTGCGGCCCAACCTTCGCCAGTTGCATTGCACGGATAATCGGGTTCACTTAGTGGTAGCCTCAATTTGTACAGTTTTTGTTGCATGATTGTGTCATACTTACCCCAACTCCCCAGTACCCACTGAAAGGTTGAAGGGCTGTGGGAAGCGTCAAGACTGGAGCGCAAGTCATGTCGGTAGGCTAACCATGGTCAACCAAGGTGTCCTGGCTTAATCCAGGATGAACAGGTGTACAATGTACAATGGTGTAAATCGTCACCATGCTCTTATCAGGTCATGGCCAATCGTGACAGAAAGAAACAATTCAAACCTGTGTAGAATTGACAACGATTTGATGCTCCACTAGCAGGCCATTCCACGTGAGCCTATCCACCAAGGGCTACTTGTGGAAGATATTTAAGACATTGGATCTGGTGGTGAACAGCGTTACTGTAAATCAGCAGAGGACCCCAAAGACATACATGGTCGTCCATTGCACGTTGCTGCAGACGACCTTGCTCCTCGTGGTCCTATTGCAGTTTGGTGGATCAACCCTGGGTATGATTCTCTGAAAAGGAAGCCCAACAAAAGATAACAAAAGTATGCAAATGTAAACCTGTTAGGCATGGGCAGCACGGGCACGATGACCAAGTCATGCGATATGTTTTAAGACTTTTCGTTGTGAAGAAAGATTTAGTTGGCGATAGACAATAGGTCAAGATTTGGCCACTGATGGTGTGCTTTGGACAATGACCAAGATGGGTCCCAGCAGCTGGATAGGACCCCCAAACCACCGACCAGTCCAAGTTGCACTTTTGCAACTGACTTGCAGCTTTGGGTCACGCTGGACACAAAGCATCCTCCACAAGCCTTTGGTGCCCTCAACGCGGCCGCGCCTCTTCAGTCGCGGATAGATCACCTCGTCGTCGCCTCTTCCGGCAGGCCGGAATACGCCTCAGCCATGGACTTGCGCGCAAAGAACCTCGCCAAGCTCGATGCGCTGGGGCGACACACCACGGTGCGCCGGTTTGAAGAGCATCGTGAAGCCGTGAACGCCGCGTCGCCGGGAACGCCGTTTCCACGGTGGACATGGGAGAGGTGGTTGATGGTGGGCATGGGATCGGGATTGCCTCAGCTAGGGGTGACCACAGCCCTGAATGGCATATACACAGTATATACACTTTGGTAGAGGAAAATTGGTCATGCAAGGGGCATGCCTTCCTCTTCCATGATCATTTCAAGGAGTGTATATGATATAATATACATTTATTAAAATTCGTTCAATACATTATACAATACAGTACAATACATTTAGGTTCTATATATATAATATATTATTACGTACTATATATTCCCTAACGAGTGCTTTCATGCCAAGCCGAACTCACATGTCCCCACGACGCGGCATCGGACACGAACGGAGGCTAGCCAAGCATGGACTGCCGATAGTGGTGGAGAGTGGTGGTCTGGCATTTTGGGGTTTCTCAAACTATCCATCATCACCAGATAGGATAGGGTGAAAGCTCGGTCATCTAGCAGGTGACTCATCTACTGAACCTTTGCGTTTAACAACGCCAAAGTTCGGAGAGGATTTTCGCCATCAAGTCAGGCTTTAAAGATCTTTAAAGTGCGTCTTGTTGTGTCTTGATATATTCTGAACATACTCCCCATGGTTCACGTAGGCTTGTGGGGTTTGGTTCTTCAATTCAATTCAATTCATGAGCATAAGTTGAAGATCAGGTCTGAAATCATGAGAAACGCGTGTCAAGACCCGCATGTATAATCTCATCATGTATGAAGTAGATCTAGGTCGTCCTGGTGAGAGACAGAGTTGTTTTTTTAGATATCGTGAGTTTCCATGACACAGTTGTTTGGACTAATTGAGGCCTTGGGGCCAATTGTAAAGCAATATAACAGCCTTTAATTGATGTATGCTCAGGTTCCTTTGGAAGCAATCACCAATAAATCTAATTGTTTAGCAGTTGGTCTTTGCAACCATCATCAATCAATGACCTCTTCATCAATCGAGGCTCGGTCAATCGATGTATCCATCACTGAAACAGACGGAACGGACCTGTTCAAGTTAGCACATCCTTGTCCAACACTGTGACCACATTCGACTTGGTTTGAAAAAACATCCGACATCTGGCAAAGTGGTGTTCACTCATCAGTTTCAAGTGACTTACATTCGACTTGGTGAGTGAGCGCCCAGTGCCAGGTCCTGGTTGCTCCCGTCGACCAGCGAATTTTGCAGACGAAGACCACCTTAAAGGCAATGGCATTTCTGGCTTTCGCCGCCGAGCGCAAACAAGTATGACATATGACAAGCTTGGCTTTGACAAGATGACCTCTAAAAAAAGTAACTTGAATAGAGGTGTTCATTGTCAGAATGTGAGTGTTTTGTTGGCAGTGTGAATGCTGCTCATCAAGACAAACTATAGAGATCTATAGGGCATATATACATGTTGTTAAGGGAACCCGCCAGGCCACTTGAGAGTTCCTGCGTGTGGAGAGCACTTTCTCAGCACAAAACGGTTGTTTCTTGTGTAAGACACCAAGATCGTAGCACTTCGTTCAAACTTACTCTCGAGGTTTGTTTGTTGCCCCCTGCCGCATCATGGCTTTCCTTGCCCTTGCCGCATCACAAACATGGATTCAGAATCAAGATCTCGTTCCGATGTCCAAGCGCAAATGAGTTCCATGCTGGTACAAGGGCAAAGGCAAAGGATCGAGGCGCTAGTAGCTGTACTTTTGATGAACATCGTCGAGAACTCTTACCGGCACTGACTTGAGCATCTTGGGCTTTCACCCCCCACAAATCGATATATAATCCCTGGTGTTTGTCTCATTGTCATGCAGAAGAGATGGAGATGGTGTTGAATTCAGTCGATTGAGCAGAAGATCGACTCCAGGGGAAGTCCTGGTTCTTGCAAGCTCATGGCAGATGTGCAGCTTGGCTGCCTGTTGGACACTGGCCGCCGGGCTGGAACTTCTGATTGATGAGATGCATCCAAACCTTGTGAAACCCTTGCATAAAGCAACTCCTTTGTGCCGGGCTTCTTGCAAAAAGGTTGCAGAAAATGCACGAATCATACGTATTACAAAATGATGTGTTCCCCGACTCGAAATTGAAAAGAAGATTTCGGCAGGCGCACATCCAACTAACGCATCGGGTAGGCCGCCTTCTTAAGAAGACACATCGGGGGTAAACCAACGACCGCAGAGGTGACCGACCGCCTCCCCCCAGGAACCGGACGACAGCCTGCCAAGTACTCCCGGCCGTTCCAGCGGTGAGGACCGCTGTTCCACGAAGAGGGCGGGACAGCGGGTTCAGCAATCGTTGGGGATTATATAAAGAAACCATATATTCGTTTGAGTTACTAATGGGTGATGGCCTCAAACCTAGATGCATTCAGCTGCCTGGCACTCCAGTTCGTTTCACTGTCCCTTCTACTTTCGGCTGAACACGTCCGATGG